TTTCCCCCCAACATATACACCTTGTCAGGATCATTCTTGGGAGAGACTTCAAGTTGCTAAGGGTTTCTCCTTTTCCCCCTCTCTTAAGAGGTATGTTTATAACTTTAACCATAGTGCCAACTCCTCTACAGGAGTAGGTTGGTCCTGGTTTCAATGGCTGATTTCCAATGAGAAGGGGGCTTCAGCTGATATTTCTGCATTGGCTCAATTGCTGGGAGTCAGAAGCTGGCTGGCTAATGTTTCTGGCACTGTTAGGGAGAGTGAACAGGGTAATAGACTTACATCTGTTTCGTTCAACTCTTTGCTATATAATGCCACATTGCCCCCTGCAATGGTCTGCGTCCAATCCCCATTCTTGCTCCTTTTGGCTATTGACACCTCATCGGGGATGCTGGATTGTTCTAGTGTTACCTGTCTCTTATCTGAGTGTTGGAATGGTTCTTGGACTGTAGCAGTGGTTATGAAAATTCCAACCTTTGTCCCAATCCCAGTCACTGCGGACCCAGATAAATTCCCCATTGTTGAGCTACTTAGAGTCCGCAGGGATTTTGGAATTATGGCAGCTATAGTGACAGCTGTGGCAGTGTCTGCTGCTGCAGCGGTTACGGCCGGAGTGGCCATGGCCAGTCAAGTACAAACTGCTGCCACCATTAATCAAGTTGTTCAACAAACTTCTACCATACTTGAGTCCCAAAATTCAATTAATCAACATATTTTGTCAGGGATTTTAGCTGCCAACCAAAGAATAGATTTACTCCAAGCTCAGGTAGAAGAATTGGCCGACTTGGTGCTTTTGGGTTGTGTTGACCAACGTGCACATTTATGCATAACCTCTGTCAGATTTAATGATTCCAGGAATGCCTCCCGCATCGTTGGCGAATATTTGGCCGGAAATTGGTCCATGGCAGCAGAAAACTTGATCCAGTCTCAACTAACTCAGATTGCTGTTTTGAACAGTACCCGTGTTGAACCAGTGACTTTGGGTCAATTCACCGATTGGATATCTTCTGCCTTTTCCTTCTTCAAAGAGTGGGTGGGAGTAGGCATTTTTGGTGCAATGTGTTGCTTCAGTGTTGTGCTTTGTTTGTGGCTTCTCTGTCGCCTTAAAACTCGCCATGCACAAGAAAAGGCTATGATCATACAAGCTCTTGCAGCTTTAGAAAATGGCAACTCGCCTCAAGTCTGGCTTGCGCATCTTAAGCAGTAAACCTTTGTCATGGTCGTTACACCCCAAGTTATTATAACATTGCACTGGGATCGACATGACTTTCCTTGTTATTCTCTTAGTGTTGGAAAGCCCTTGCACTCTGCCGGTCTTACTGCCATTGCACGCAGATGGGTTTCCACACTAGTGCTTTTCTATCGCCTTAAAGTCTGTGCCTTTCTTTCAGGGTGCTGTCAACTTGTTTGTCGTTATAAACAGCCACAGTTCAGCCTCAGCTATCCCCCTTCGTCCACCATCATCACGATACAGGATGTGAGGCAAGGCACTGCACTTGAGTGATCCTTGACGAGGACCTCAAGGAGAGCATGTCCTATTGCATGCGGGTTAGACGCATCCACGCCCCGCCCCATGAAAAAAGGCGTTGGCTGATATGGCCTCAGATCTGGGGAAGGGCCCTCCTTAGGACTGAGCCATACTATGCAGCCACTTCTGCACAGTGGGATAGGACCTCTACTCTCTCCTGTATTGTTTTAAGAAAACAGAAAGGGGGAACTGTGGTGAGCCGCTTCTGCCGTTTCTGCAGATTATGGTCGCCATTACAAGATGACGCTGGCTCTGCTGTGGTCTGTGACAAACAACTCCTTATCTGGGAGAGTTGGCACATGATTTTTCACCACCCTGTGAGAAAGCTCCACGCGGCAGCTTTGCATTGGGGCTTGGGATGCTTTATTAAGGCTGGGAGGGGCATCCGAGAGGGAGAAGAAGAAATATCCAGGGCCTGAATAAACTGTTGAAAGAAGATTCTTGAGTTGCGTCTTCCTTGCAGGCAAGGGGTCGCGACAAAATCCAAACTTATCCCAGAAGAAAACACCAACCCACAGAAACAGACTAGAGTGTAATGGAGGAAAACAGAGAAAAAGATCTAAAGAGAAATCAGAAAAAGTAACTAAAAATGAATAAGACCAGTCAGAAATAATTCTGTATCTTTCAATCAAAAACCTTGAATTTAAAGGGATTAAACTCCCCAATTATAAGATGTAAAGTGACTGAATGGATTTTCTTTTTTATAATGGACTCAGTTACCTGCTGTCTACAAGAAAGTCGTTTCACCTCAGGACACACACAGAGTGACAGTGAAGGGATGGAAAAGATATTCCACATGAAGAAAACTAACCTAGAGCAGGAATGGCTAGACTCCTGACAGATAAAATAGACTACAGATTAAAACACAATAAAAAAAAAACCCAAGGTGATGGCACCATGATAAAGTCGTCAATTCAGCAACATGAGACAGCAATTGTGCACATACATGTACCCGACACCCGAAAACCCACATGTGCAAAACAGATATTACTGGAATGTAAAAGAAGAAGTCAACTACTACACAGTAAGAACAGTGGGGGCTTCAACTCCCCTTTTCCACACTGGACAGATCATCGCTGCACACAGTAGACATTTACCGACCATCCCACCCAACTACTGCAGAGCAAACAGCCTTCTCAACAGCACACAACACATTCTCCATTTATTCTCAAAATAAATCTCCATAAATTTAATAAGAATGGAATCCATAGCAGGGTGAACATCTGGACAGTTACAAAGCATGGGAGTTCTTCAGCGTGTTCCCCAACAACCAATGGGTCATTGAAGAAACCAAAACATTTTCATGGATGTAAGAAATAAGAAAAATAAATAAAAATTTAAAAAGAAAGTGTAAAATGCCTGCAGACCAATGAACAGGACCACACAAGATATTCAAACCTGGGGATACATCAAAAGCAATTCTAACTGGGAAGTCCTCAGCAAGAAATACCTTTATTAGGAAAATAGATCTTAAATAAATTGCCCAATATTGCATGCCAAGGGACTGGAAAAAATAAGGATAAGTCATGCCCAAGTTTGTAAAATTGGGAGAAAGAATAAAATCATAAAACTTCTCGAGTAGCTGAGATCCCAGGCATGTGCCACTGCAACCGGCTTTTCATAATTGTTTGTTATTGTTTTGGGGACCAGGCAGTGAACTCAAGGGTGCCACACCAGTGAGCCCCATCCCCAGGTAGGATTTTGAAACAGGGTCTCACAAACTTGTTTACAACCTCACTAAATTGCTGAGGGTGGCTTTGAACTCACCATCCTCCTGCCTCACCACCTGAACTGCTGGAACTACAGCTGAGCAACACCAAGCTGGCTTTTGCAGTTGTTATTGGCAGAGAATCTTTCAGAACATCAATTTGACCCACCTGTCCAGACCAATTAAAGAATGCATTCCAATGTTTTCATGTGGGTTTTGGATCCTTCTTTTTGAACATTTCTAACAGATAGACAGCTCTATTCCAATTAAACCTTCCCAATGTAATCACCTCATTTTTGGATTTATTTATTTGTTTACTTATTTCTGTGATGCCTTGGATGGAACCCAGGCCCTTCCACATGCTAGCAAGTGCTCCACCACTGAGAAATGTCCCCAGCTCCCTGAGTTAGCTTTGATGAAGTTCACTCATTTCTCTAGAATAGCAATGTTTCTGGGTTTCTAAATTGTGGAGGTAAAATTGGCCACTGTTAAGGAAGGGGCTGTAGAGTCTTTGGATACAGGTGTACAAAGGACTCTGCATCATTCAGTAGCCAAGGAGTGAAACTCAGTCCACACTTCCTGACCCAGCCACCCTTACAAACCCGGTCCTGTTTTTTATGACATCCTACTGGTGTGTGCTCTATCAAAGCACAAATCAACCTAGAGTCAAAAGATGAGGAACTCAAAGAGAAGTGAGTGCTTTATCCCCATGCATCTGAGAAAACAAAGTGCCCTCACAACCCTTCCAGTGTTCAATGGGTCTGGAGGCACCAGAATATCTTCAAGACCCTTTTTAGTCATGATAACTCTTAAAAGAACACATGATGACAGATATCATTTTGCAGATTTTCCTTGACTATATTTGATCCTAGAATCCAACAAATTGAATGCCATTCAGAACCTTCCACCTGCCCCACATGTGCAAACTTGACTTAGAGCCCAAGAAAAGAAAGTGCCATAAAGAGGGATCAAGGCACAAAGATCACTCTGTGGGTGACAGAGAGGCTGGCTGTGCTTGGCCCAGACTCTGCTACCAGTTCCAAGAGTGAGCTACACTCTGTTTACACATCAAAGTGGGTTCCAGTTCATTATGTGAGGGGGGTTATTCAAGCCATAATTAAAACACATCCACAGGCAGTTTTAGAACACCTCAAATGAAGACTGAGTGAACCTCGTTCTCATCCTTGGATGGGAAACTAAGGCTAAGGCCGCTCCACAACCCCATCAGTGCAGTCCTCAGTGGAAGGAAGTGTTAGGGCAAGATCTGTCAGTTATGTGCAACTCCTGCCCCACCAGAGCTTGTAATTGATTCAGTTTCATTTTGAAATATTTTCAAGTGTTATCTACAAATATGATTCTACTATTTTGCTGAAAGGTAATTTGGATACCTTCAAGGGGCACCACTAGTTTAAATGAGGACAGACTACCTAGGTGGATGACAGGCAAGGTTTGGTGAGGCCCAGAGGCTCTGATCAATGTACAGCATGGTCACCTCCTGCAGGCCCTAGGAGTGAGACAATTGGGCCTGTCTTGTGCACAGATGCCCTTGCCCAGCACATCCAGGGACTGGGACCTGAATTTTCTGGGTCTACATAGAGACCCATCAGGAGGGGCCAGCATTGACTGTCTGGGTGGCACTGAGGTCCACTGAGAAGAGGTTTTCTTGCAATGGCTCATGTTCAATGCCTACATAGAATGTTCCATTCCACCTTTGTGAACCTGCAAGTGTTAAGCCACAGAGTAGCCACATATCATGACCAGATTTCAGTTTGATACCTTGACTTCTTGGGCCTGAACCTCATTGTTCACCAAGTACTCAATGCCTTCTTTCTCCACAGCACCTGGAGAATCCCAAAGTTTCATTAGGAAGCCAGGTAAATCCAGTGCAGAAGACATCAGAAGACTAACCTTAAGATTCTGTTCATTTCTGACTATTTATGGACCAGCCATGAAACACAATAGCCTTTTTCTGTGCCCATCAAGCCTAAATCCCATTCTAGAAATCCAGGTCTCTATGTATGTCTCTATAAAGACACATGTCCTGAAGGTCCTATCCTCAGGGGGCTTCCCTCCAATGGAGTCCCCTGCTGTACTTTCCTTTCCCCATCGACACTCCAGGCAATGTCTGAAATGGTGGGCTCTGTATTCCATCTAAGGTGACCTTACATCCTGGTTATACCTCCAATTGCCTAGAAGTATGTTTTTGAAACACCCCCAACTAGGCAGGTGTTGGACAGGAGCAGTGAATGAGGCCCTGGTTATACATCAACTTGTAGCCACAATGACGACAGGGGACAGTACAGAACACAAGGATGTTTGGCTGCCTAAAGTCCCTCACTCTTGCTGTCAGCTCAGCACAGAGTTGGGAACATCTCCCTGGGTGGATGGTACCCAAGGCATCATAGCTCTCCAGAGGGGCAGGATACAGCTCTATGCTCAACTGGCTCAGCCTGGCAGTGTGAAGCAGCAGGTCCCTCAGGGTTGACATAGAGAGGCAGTTCCCATGGAAGCTCAAGATCACAAGCTGGGTGCAGCGGCTCAGGGCAGGCAGAAGAGTCTGGAGCTGGGAGTCAGTGATCCCGCAATCTTCCAAGTCCAGACTGTTCAGGGTGGTTGCAGTGCTGTCCAGCAGGATTTGGAGGGGCTCCAGACTGAAATTGGTCAGTTTTATGCACCTCAGTTCCAGGTGTCTGAGCTGTCTGGTGTTTGGATATTGGGAAAGATAATTCCAGTCAGAATCTGACAGTGGGCAATTGGTTATTGAGAGGGTCTTCAGGGGGGTCTTCAGGTGCCTAAGAAAAAAATGAAAAGTTAGTACTGAGGAGCAATGTCAAGGAGGGAGAAGACAAATTGGCCCAAACCCAAAGTCACCCTGGTGATCTGACAATGGCCCACACTTAGAATGCTGCCTTTTGCAGAATCTGCTCATTCACATCAACCCATGTCAGGGTGAGCCTTTCACCACATCTCCTGTGAACAGATGAGTCCACATCTCTGTGTCCTCTCCTCACTGCCAAGCAGAAAGTCATAGGTCTGGCCACAGGAGGTCATGGGGAGTCATGTATGAAGGACAAATTTGGGCAGGATGTAACAAAATCCCCTGGGGTTAACCCTCTGAGAGGCTCACACCCTATATCCTCAGCAAGATTTCCACCCCTGCTCCTGACCCTTACACTCAGGATCACTAACTGGAGTTCAGAACAGCCTTCCCCAGGTGGGTCCCAGAGGCAGGTCCTCTGCTCCCATCTGGGGATCACAGAGATTTTCTGTTGATGGGTGTAAGTGTGGGGGCTTCCCTCCTTCCAAGCCCTCTTCTCTACCCACTTTCCACCACTTTATTTGGACAGGCCTCCCATGGAGGAAACATCAATCCCATCCCTAACTCCTGTCCCTCCCAACTAGATTCCCAGTATGGTGGCACTTCCCCAACTCTGGACCCTCATTTAGGAGTCTGATCCAATGCACATTTTGAGATCTAGCTTCAGGATTGAATAGGAACAAAAGGATAGGTTATTTACCTTCCAGTGTCTTATTAACCATGAGAGTTTCAGTGGCTTGTAGGTGCAAATTTCCTATAACTTTTCTGCAAAGGGTGCTCACCCCCATCTTACTCACCTTAGCACCTGTTCCAGGTGGCCCTTGAGGAGGAAGACAGCATTGGCACAGAACTTCCGCAGGCAGTCCATCCTGAGGAACTGCGAGGTGAGCTGGGCGAGCAGCTGCTCCTGCTCCTCTTGGGAGGTGTAGGCAGGCACATAGACCTGGGAGACAAGCAGCTTCCTCAGGTTCCTCATCTGGCCCAAGAAAGGAGCAAAAGCAGCCAAGGTGGAGGCCGCCCAGGTGCAGTGCACTTCCACCTTCTGGACAGAGTCCAGCTGCAGCAGTCTCAGGACCTTCCTGGTGTGGCTGGTGGGTTTCCCAAAGATCTTCAGCCTATTGCAACACAGGTGCACCCTGTCCCTTCTCTGTGTGACCCACAGGAACAAGTGGGTCAGGAATGCATCCAGGGGTCTTTTTCTGAGGCTCAAGTCTATGAAAACCTTGAAGGGTTGCTTAGCTGCCATTGCTGGACCAAGTTTCAAAGTTCGATTCTACTTAATGTCCTCTGGTGAGCAGGCATCAACCACAGCTCCAGACCACATCCTCCAGAAGTTCTGGGGAACATTCCGCAAATCCAGCACCTGCAGTTTCCACCTCCTGTGGGGACGACAGCAGTCTCAGCCCTGAGGCCCCCTCTTCACCCTTCAGCTCCTGTCCCTTACTCCACCTCTTCCTTCTGTCTCACTTTTCTCCATCCACTTCCCTACAATGAAGCCTGGTGCCCCCACTTGTACAGACTGAGGCGGGGGCAGGTACAGCCTCCTTCATGGGTCACCACAGCTGCCACAAGCACCTCAACATCTGGAAGCATTTCCCAGGTTGGGCTCAGCATGGCCAAGGCCTCTCCACCTCTCCATATAAACCTTAAAAAAAACAAAAATTAAATGAATGAATGAAAGTTGGGCGTGTGAGCCTACACTTATTATTCCAGGGGCTCTGGAGACTGACTCAGGAGGATCAAGGGGTCAAAGCCAGCCTCAGCAAGAGCAGGTGCTAAGCAACTCACTGAGACTCTGTCTCTAAATAAAATACAAAACAGGGCTGGGGATGTGGCTCAGTGGTAGAGTGCTCCTGAGTTCAATACCGGGTACCAAAAAAATAAATAAATAAAAAAGAAAGAAATTTGAAAGTGGCATGAACCAAAATGAAAATCCTAATATTTAGCATAAAGGCAAAACCACACTGAGAGGCAAATTCGAAGTCCTAAGTTATTTCATGAGAAAAGACAGGAACAAAATTGTTCCTGAATCCACACAGGTGAGGAGGGAAGATGCTGTTCCTTAGGCCAGTGAGGGACTTACGGGATCTGGCCAGGTGTGCAGGTGCTCTGAGCTTCAGTAGGTCAGGATGTGTCTCCTTAGGCTGCAAGAACTTGTGCTTCTCTTCTGGCTCTGCAGAAGCTTTTGTGGACCTCTCTGGCCACGCCCCTACCTCCATCTGATTGATAAGCATCTAATCAGAAAGCAGTATGTGATCACCTTCTAAAATCTCCACCCACTTAATAATGCTGGGATTTTCTTCCTTGCATTAGTTCATTGAATCTGATGGTCATGCAAGAGCACAGAATCAGGGAGATTTGAGAGTCAGTGATGCTTTTGTCCATACACTCCCTATCATGGGCTCAATTTTGTCCATATGTGACCCTCCTGTTTCTACTGTGAGACATAAAAGTACTTAATCCCTAATGTAAGAAAAACATTACTGGAAAATACCTTTCTACAGGGATATTTGCCATATCAAAATTATTTGAAAAAAATAATTTTCAAAAATATTTTGAAAATTCCAGAGAGAAAACAGCTTTTTGAAGACAATAGTGTCATCCACAAAGATTAAAGAATGGAAACCATGTTTCCAACAGTCACACAAGTGTCAAGTTAACTTACAGCAAATCTGAGCAAACTAAGGGAGGTAGAACACAAAGGAAGGTAGAATCAGTCTTCTAGACTTAGGGCAAGATTTCTTCTATTTGTACTAGGGATGAAACACATTGGATCTCTACCGCTGAGCCACATGCCCAGCCCTTTTTATTTTTTTTGATTTTATTTGGAGACAGAGTCTCAAAAAATTTCTTAGGTCCTCCCTAAGTTGCTGAGGCTGGCCTCAAACTTGCCATCCCCATTCCTCAAGTCTCCTGAGTTGCTGTGATTACAGGAATGGGCCACCATGCCCCATCAGACTTGGCAAAGTCTGAAAGCCACTGAGGGTGTAAGGTTTGCAACTTGGGATATTGGAGTGAAAGACACAGGGTTGGACAGCAGGTGCCCTTGACTTCAGGGAGGCCACCAATTAGAGAGCCTTCCTTCAGAATCAGGGACTTCCCCAGGGCACTTCTCCCAGAAACCTTGGCCCCAGGCACTTTCCAAGGCCTTTAGTCTTGGAGAAGAATACAAGCAAAGGAAAATTTCAAGAGTCTGAGTAAAATGAAATTCTAAAATTGAGGAAGGATAGACAGAAAGAGATGGAATGCTTGGATGAGCCATGCGAGGTGAGCACTTCCAGGGAACATGTAGAAGGAATGGTTTGATGGGTGGCGGTTAGAAAATTGCAATTCTTATTTTTTCTGTCTGTCTTTGTTTTAGTCAGCTTTATGGTGCTGTAACTAAAACACCCAAGGACAAAAACTACAGAGGAGGAAAATTTTATTTGGGTGGCTTGGTTTCAGTGGCCTCAATCCAGAGACAGCACCTCCAATTTGAGACTGAATATCATGGCAGAAGCTTGTGGCAGAGGGAAGAGGCTCACATTACCAGAAAGCAGAGAGAGAGAGATGGCCACTTGTAGATACAAACTCTATACCCATATTCACACCCCAAAGATCAGCTTCCTCCAGCCACAGCCCACCTGCCCCCATTATCTCCCAGTTAATCCCACCAGAGATTAATTCATTGGCTAGGTTATGGCTATAAACCAATCATTTATCCTCCAAAACAGTCACATGTGAGCTGTTAAGAGACACAGCATCTAAACCGTGATGGTCTTTTGGGGGTATCTTGTTGGAAAATGTCCCTGCTCACATCACATAATCATATGTAAGTTGGATAATTCCAATTGGCTAAGGTTATATTTCGTTTCTGTTTCACATAATAACTTACCACAAATGAAACACATTTAATTTCATGTGTGTGTGCAGATATAATGGATTAAGGCTACATCCAACACCATCTCTGGTTTTTATGCTCTACAATATTTGAAATCTACACTCTGATTTAATTTTAAGTTTCTCTGTAATTTGTCTGTGTGTCACCAGCTGAAAGGTTGACTTCATGCCACAGCCCTGGCTTCTCTTATTACCCCTGACTTGGTGCACAAGGCAGGTCAAAATTACAGTCAACCTATATCACAACAGACAGTGTCTCTCCAAAGAAAAGTGTAGTCAGTCATAATAGGGCAGGAATGCAGGACACTTAAAGAAAGATGAGTCAGTGCCCCATCCAGGAGGCAAAGGGAGACAGGGTGTCAAAGGCAGCTTTGAATCAATTATCACTGGCTCCACAGATTCAGTACCAAGGGTGGCCTCAGTTCAAGGACAATAGGTGGCAACTGGCCAGGTGTCCTCTTAGAAAATATGGGGGGTGAGAGTTAGGGTTTATTTTATGCACAGCTGAGTATGGGGCTGACTGGTTTGTGATAGTTCCTGCCATCATGCAGGGCTGCCCAGGGACCTTCCCTTCAAAGCACCCTGCTTCCCCTTCATCAGGATTTGACACAGTTACTTCCTGTTGATTTGAGCACCATTTATGTTTCCCCCTTGGGATGAAGATTTTTTTCCTCTGGATGCATCACAAAATGGTTAGGGTTTGATTCTATCTCAGTGCCAGGATGGACTTTTCTTGGTTGGTCCAGTCCCCCATTGGAGGGAATTAATAGATGATTAGGAATCAATGTTGAAACTCATTAAGCCACATTTGAACAACAACATGGGTTTGGAGAGAGTGGCTCTCACTGTCCCTCCACCAGGAAATCACTGTTAAATTCAATTTTGCCTATTCATTAGGCCTTGGGTATCTCATCTCCAAGCTTTGGCCTTTACTATTCTATGAAGGGTTAGACTTTTGCAGAAATTTTATGACTACAGGTGATCATTTAAAAGAAAAATATTTAGGCCCTGAATTTATGAATTTTTATTTTTTGGCACTGGGGATTAAACCCAGGAGAGCTTTATCACTGAGCTACATCCTCACCTTTTTTCATTTTTATTAATTATTTAGTTAATTAAATTATGCATATATTCAGTTTGGGTACCAAGGTTTGAACCTAGGAGAACTACACCACTGAGCTACATTCCCAGGACATTTTTAAAAGTTTTTTTTTTTTTATTTTTAATTTTGAGACAGTTTCTCACTAAATTACTGAGACAGGCCTTGAATTCGAGATCCTTCTGCCTTAGCCTGCTAAATAGATGGTGTTATGGGGAGTCCCTCCAGAAAGCACTCTAAGTCTGAATTTCAAATCAAAAGAGAGCTTTACTTACCTGACTAGGGACTGTCACCCACCTCAGAAACTCGAGCTCTGTGAGAGGACAGCAGCTTTCTGATCCATCCAAAGACAATATAAGCACAAAATCCACAACTCAGTGACTTTCTTATCCTCATGTAAGCTAGCCAATCATAGAAATTCAAACATTAATAAGTGGGGCCTGTGGGCTCTAGGAAGGATCAGAATTTTCCCATCAGCAAGCCAGCACATTAGCTTTCATGTTCATTTGAGCACGGTCCTGGGTTCAAGCAGGTGCTAGACAGTCACATCCTGAATTTGGGTTGGAGTCATCAGGATGAGAATCTACTTCAAAGTCATGTAGACCGAAAAAAGCATTCAAACCCAGGATATAGCTCTTCACGACCACCAGTGGATACTGAGTAGGGTACAATTTGTGGGGTACAAAGTACAGAAATGTGATTTTATTTATTTATTTATTTATTGAATTTTATTTATTTATTTATTTATTTAATTTCTTTTTTTAAAATTTTTATTGTTGGTTGTTCAAAACATTACATAGTTCTAGGGGATCCAACATGGCGGCGAGAGGGGAGGCAGCGCTTTCAGTACCTCCTCAACAAAGGGGTCAGAGAGATGCATGGATACGCTTAGATATGACCTGCTGAGAAACTCCTACCAAAATTCCACTAAAGAGAGACCGGCCGGGAATTGGAAGGATTTTTGGAGGTGACAGTCTGCGCTAGACGAGTGAATCTCCACCACGCAGCGCAGAGGTCCAGACCTGCCAGCCGCTGCCCGCGCGACTCGGCGACTGTTGGCTGCCTGCACGTGGCCCCCGCGTCAGGGCGGATAGCCTCCGAGGCGCAGTGCAGCAGGAGCGGTGCAGGGACTCTAGGAAGAGGTCTCTCGCCAAGCCTTCATGAAATAGCAAACCGGGAGCTGAAACCAACCAGAGACAGACCAGTCCCACCCCTCACTTCGGACACTCTGGCAAGGAGCCTGGGGCCTGCCATAGCAGAGTGGTGAC